ATATACACAGAGAGACAAACACAGGTTCAATGACCTCGTACTTTGCCGTGTGCACAAGATGAGTGACGGTAAACTGATGATGGCTCTCCAAATGGTGCCAGATGTTTGTGTGTGTGTTCAGTGTGTGTTGGTGTGTGTCTGTGAAGCAGGTGAATGTAAGCAAGCTGTGGGTCTGGCATGAGTTGGAGTAAATGAGTTGCAGCAAAGCAGAACCTCTGCCAGAACCATTACACATACACATCAAACCCATCCTTACCTTCTTCTTTACACACACACAAAGAGAGACGCACAGCAGTCCGGTGCGCTCTGCGTTTAAAGCTGGATAACAAACAGGTGTTAACGTCAGCCTTTCCTGCAGTTTGTCTGAACCTCTCAGCTCTGCTCTGTGATCACTGCCTTGCTGTTTCTATCTTTATTTCACTCTACATGCCCACAAACTTAATGTGATGTGACATGCTAAACAATTATTTTGTACTGAACAACTTTGTGGAAGCAATAGCCATTAGAAGAGAACATTTCGTGATTTATAAAGGTAGGATTTCACTGTAAAATGATAGAACCTTAAAAGAAAGTAAGCTGAGCAGCACCTTCAGATGGGCTGCATGGTCCCTCAAACTGCCCAGTGGTGTAAGTGATAAAAACCCAAAAGTGTGAAACCATAAAAATCACTTGCCAGCCAACGATGATACAATAATCATGAGTGATTCTGAGTGATGATTGAAAAGCAACCTCGTCTTATTGTAAGAACACTGAATGCTGAAGGAGTGACGGCATCAAGCTGAAAAAATACCTGATCTCACAATTAACCCAGCTTTGGTAAAATTAAAACAGTAAAACATGAATCCATAACTAGGCCTGTCACAATAACAAATTTTGATGGGCGATTGTCTCAGAAATTATTGCAATAAATGATAATATTGTTTGAAATTTGACAATAATTAGAAATTACTGTCAAATTTAAAAAGAAATGTTTGTTCATTTGTTTTGCATGTAGTACCTTTTTTGACCACGGGATGGCAGTATAAGACTATTTGAATCAAAGGATGAATAGTGAGGGAGCAGCAGCGTGTCTCTTTAAGAAAAATGGGAGGGAGGCCCCTTGACGTGACATGGGCTGTCTCTCTTCAGTTCTCAAAACGGCGGACACTCGATGTGATTTGAGCTCTTTAGCATAACATTAGTCACACAGAGCTTTTAATTAAAAAAAATCGTTAAACAAGTTCTCAGCTTCTTTTTGAAGAGAAAAACTTTTTAGACGAAGGCACGGGTTTCAACCGTGAATTTTGGACCTTCGACAAGACAGAGTTTTTTTCCCGAGGTCGGCCTGTTATTTTAGCTCGTAGCTTAGCTTTTCAGTTTAGCGTCTCAGCTTAGCTGCTTTTAGCGATCGAAAAACGTGGTTTTAGATGATTAAAATGGATTTTAAAGAAAAGAGAAAGGGAGGGGTCAGTGAAGAGCACCGGAGTTGAGCGTTTGTCATCCAGTGTCTTCAGTAGAAAGAGAGAGACACGAAGAAACTATAAAGTCGATAAATGAAAATGAGGTCAATAATTTTCATCTATCACCCAAATAAATTATTAATTGTTTATCACAACAGGCCTATCCATAAGTCATAAAAAGTGTAAACAGCAGTGAAAAAGTTGGCAATTTAGGACAAATAATTAGAGACAAAAATAAAACATGTTCTCTACAAAGTCACTGATTTCTTTCAAAATCAGGTTATTGTACACCAAGAGCCACAACAGGAGCAAAGGGATTTTCATGAACATATTCACCCCCCAGTGAAGCCATGTTGTGCTGTTTTACCTGCAGACTCATTATCAAATGATTGTTATCTGTGTGCTCTGTATGACAGACTGAATCCTCACCCTGTCACAGCTGACACTTCTGTTTATGTCCACGTTGTATATAGTGTGCTCATGAAAACAGCTGACCATGGTACCATCATGAGAAAAACAAAGCACACTCGTGGTCAACTGTAGGGTTTGACAATACATTCATCAGGACATGACAAAAACCAGAGTCTAAAGTCATTGTTGTCAGAATCATTTGTAATGTGGGGGGGACACACTGGTGGGATGGTCTGCGAGTCCTCCCAAAGAAAAATTTGAATAAAGTAGATGCCATTTCCTGCATTCTAGTGTATTTTAATGTGTTAAACATCTACATTTACCAACATATGTAAACACTTGATTTAATAACTATTATAGAGAGCACAGCACAACAAGTAGCCTGACCAACAGCTCTCCTTGTGTGAATAGAACACGCTCCGCTTCCCCCCAACGCACCCCACCACCACCCTAGTCAACAACTGCCAGCACTAACGTAGCACTAAGCTAGCAGTGCGCACTACAAATGTGCTAGCTAATATGCTACAAATGCCGCACTCCGCTTCTCTCGCGCATCCTAACCCCCACCCCCCACTCAGGTCAACAACTGTCAGCACTAATGTAGTGATAAGCTAGTGCGCAACACAGAGGTGTTCTCTTCCTCCTCCCCCTGCCCCGTCGACCGAAACCTCCGAAGAAATGAGCGCCCTGCCAAGGCAGGTGACCTGGAGGACACACTGCAGTGGTGCAGTGAGTTGTTGTAGGTAACAAGGGAAATCTGGAGTGGACTTTTAGTGATTTGAGTATTCTCCTGCTGATCAAGTGGAATGGATGGGTCCAAATGAGTATTTTTAAAATGTGAGGGGAATACGTCCCCTTCACATATAATTGTTATGAGGCCTATTAAAATTATTCTTCTCTAACCCACAGTGTACAAAAATGCAACCAATTCCATCATATGGTTATTTATTAAAGAAATATGAAGTCAAAACCCACCCCATGATTCAGCATTTGGAGAATATTTTAGCAACAACCCTCGGTAGTTTTTTAATTTTTATTTTATGTGTCTCTCACAGTGTTGTGGAGGAATTTTGGCCCACTCTTCTTTCCAACATCCTTGTTTGATTCTAGAGTCTTTTGGACAACAAAAGAGCTCATGGTCGACAAGATGACTGCAGGGGGCACGGGTCCTGTGTCCGTAGACCAAGCTCAAACCACCAGCCCCCCACCACCATGTTTTGCGGCATGAGTGCTGATATGTTGTATTTATTATGGCCAAGTATTTCTACGTCACGGTCTTCTGTCCAAAGGGCTTTGTTGTAGACGTCTTGTGGTTCATTCAACATTAAACCTGTTGTGCCACATGGTTGTTTTTTAGAAAGCAGAGTCTTCCTCCTGCAACCCATCTTTGTTACGTCTTTTTCTACGTCTCTACGATTCTACGTCTTTTCCTGAACTTAAACCTTTAACCTAGTATCTGAGTCCCGTGGAGCCTAAAATAGAGCTTTTGGGTTTCTTGCACTGCACAGTCTGACCTTGGGGTGAATTTGCTGGGATGTATACTCAGAGGAAGATTGGCAGCTGTTTAAAATGTCTTCCACTTGTGAATAATCTTTCTTCTCGTAGAACGATGGACTTCTAAAAACGGCCTTCAACTCTTGCCAGGTTGATGGGCAGCAGCATGTTTCTACTACCAGGCCATTACTCATGCATTTCCATCTTGGCGTTGTGTTAACACACACAGTTTGCTTCAGCGCAGCAAAACTGATTTCATAGAGGTGATGATACTTGCCCTATTAAATCCTATAATAAATGGTAAATGGACTGTACTTGTATATCACCTTTCTTTCTTTTCAAGACACTCAAAGCTCTTTACAACACAATCTGTGCCTCATTTACCCATTCATTCATACAGCTCTCTACTAGATCTCTACAAAGAATAATCAGTGCTTTATCACATTCATGCACTGATGGGACACACATCGGAGGCTATGAGGGTTCAGTGTCTTGCTCAGGGACACTTCAACATGTGACTAATGGCGGAATCGAACCCCCAACTCTTACATTGGAGGACGGCTGCTCTTACCACTCAGCCACAGCCGCCCAAAAATAATAAGCAGCCAGGTGGATTTATTTTTTCCCACATCTTTTCCATTTTGGCTTAATTTTTGCCTAAAAATAATGACAATGATCGAATCTCGTGTGTTTCTGGACACTTAAAGTTAGATTTTAATAATTTTAGAAGCTGCTAAAGATGTGATTCTTTTTTATAGTGAAGTCGTACAACTGGCAGAGGGTGAGAAATGTATTTCATACGACTGCATCTGACCACAAGCCGAGATGTCAGGCTCTGGGAATACCTGCACTTTTGCACAATCAGACGGCAGCCTTTAAGCCCGGGGGTGGTTTCTGCTCCACTGGTCGACTTCTAGAGCAGGTTACCCCTTAAATAAAAGCACCGATTCAAAGCTGTGTGCAGTGAGCTTGACCCTCTGCTATAGAAACCTTGTATTTACCTGATCAAAAACAGAAAAGGTCTCGAAAGCTTCCTCCATGTTTGCCATGTTAGGAAATAAACCTGTATATGTGAGGTCTTTACCGGCCCGTCGCTCGCCTGCTGCTGGAGCCCTTCCAGTGTGAGTGCACGCTCAGACGCAGCTGTGGACCGAGCAGTTTGCACAACGCGCACGGACTGGATCAGGCCATCTACAGCGTGCACGTTTACCTGAATGAAGCTACTTGTTGCACCTGTGCTTAATGAGAGCAGAAAGAAACCCCTGCAGCATCCCTGTTGATGCAGTGCATCGACTGGGGGGGGGGGGGGGTATCTGCAGCTCTCTGTTGCCTACACATGAGTGTGCAGGTGCAACTGTTGGGATTTTGCAGCGCTGCACAGCCTGCAGAAAACAAACCATCACCAGTTAGAGCCACACTTTTACAGTTCGAGTCCATGATTCCTCATCGTCCATGTGTGTCGTCTGTCTCAACCTGTTTGTCCTCCCAGTCCCTCCCTGCTGCAGTGCAATCATATCACTGGTCACGCCAGTGATATATATATTGTTATCTGTTGCACCCCCCTGTGCATACAACCCCTCCCCTCAGGCTCACACATCTTCTAGTGTAACGCCATCCTCCTCCCCAGCAGGCCTGGTAGAGAACAGAGTGTCTTACTTGCTTTCCCGGGCCTCTGCAGCAGCTTGTGCACGGTGAGCAGGTCCTCGGTCTTCACCGCCTGCAGCAGCTCCTGGTCCTTCCCCATCTCTGAGCCGCTCTACTCCCGCAGCTCCCGCAGCATCCTCCTCCCGCAGCGGCGCGTCAGCCCAGCCTCAGCCGGCGGAGGGTGCGTCTGCCGCGGCCACGAACAGCCTCCACTACCCCCCCCCCCCCCCCTCCAGGCTCGCTGGATAAACGATAACCCCCCCACCCCACCTCCTCCTAGAGCTGTATATGAGACCCCGGGGATGGAGGGATGCTCTCCGGGTTCCCCACCCCCCCGCCGCCCCTTCCTCCGACTCCCGCTTCGACGGAAAGTGGACCGTTCGAGGCTCCGGTACCAGCCCGCCCAGGTCTGATGCTCGGTCTGCCCTCACGAACCGAACCGGCCCGCGCTGCTGCTCGGAGGGTGGTGGGGGGGTGGGGGGCGGTGTCGAACGGAGCAAGAGAGCTGCGCGTGAAGGACTGTGCGTTGCGAAGGTCCGCGCGTTCTCCGGGTGGATGTATTTTTCTGCGCGTGGTGGGGAGGGGAGGGGCTGTGAGGGGATGGAGGAGGGTGGGAGGGAACACGTGCACGCGGCCGCGCGCTCCACCGCTGGCCCAGCTCGTAAATGGCTCGTGCTGAAAGTGGGGGGCGGAGCTGGAGCCCCGCCCCCTGGTTCATGTCTGTGGTTGAGCTGAGCTCTTTGTCTGAGTCCTCCAGATGTTTACCAGAACATGTAAACATACAAACACTGGTTTGAGCATTTACAAGTTTAAAAACATAAACATATATTTTATTAAAATGTATAAATAAAACTAATAATCCAGTCTCTGACTACCAGTCCTCACATGCAGGTCACATCCAAAACATTTTAAATCTACAGTTGGGAGCGGACAGCTTCAGTAAGTTCAGTAAAGGCTGTACTTTTCTTAAAATAACATGGACTGGAAATTAAATACAGGATTTTTCATTCATTCAACCTTTGTTTATATCTAATTTTTCACACAGCAACAAGCAAATACAATATTAAAATCAAAGTGTTGGCTTTCAGTTTAAGAAAGCTTGTTTCAAATAAACTCTTTGTTTAATTTACCTCTTCAAATTAAAGATGTGCCTTTTTTCTTTTTCATTCAACCTTTATTTCTACAGGTTAGTCTCATTGAGCCTCGAGGACTCATTTACAGGAGAGACCTGATTTAAACGAAGAACACAGATGACGTACAGACCACAATAGATAATCATGTAAAAAGCATATAAAATCGAAAAAGTAAATAAAATAAATTATATAAAAACGAAACAAAAACAGCTACATTATAAAGTGATGTAAAATACTAAAAACAGATGTGACATTTTTGTGAAAAGGACAAAACATCTAAAATAAGGACAATTCATGATATTCTGTGAAGATTGATAACGTCTCCAGTTGTTGTCTGTGCTGGTCTCTGCACACTCAAAAGTATTAAATTTAAAATCCATCCATCCATCCATTATCTTTACCCGCTTATTCCATTTTGGGTCACGGGGGTCGCCGGTGCCCATGTCCAGCAATCACTGTGCGAGGGGCGGGGTACACCCTGGACGGGTCGCAAGTCCATCACAGGGACACATAGAGACAAACGAGACAAACAACCATTCACTTTCTCACTCACACCTAGGGACAATTTTAGAGTTACCAATCAGCCTAACATGCATGTTTTTGGTCTGTGGGAGGAAACCGGAGCACCCGGAGAAAACCCATGCATGCACGGAGAGAACATGCAAACTCCACCCAGAAAGGCCCCTGGACCGGGGTTTGAACCAGGGACCTTCTTGTTGAGAGGCAGCAGCTCTACCAGTTGCGCCACCGTGCTGCCCCTAGATTTAAAATAGTCTAAATAAAAAACTGATCTACATGGAGACATTTTCTTAACTCTCATGATGCCAGAGGCTATGGGCTCACCACCTGTGGGAGGGGCCAAAGGGGTCGTGCAATGTGGGATGGGTGTTGGCCGAGAGTGGGGACCCTGGCGGTCTGATCCTTGGCTACAGAAGCTGACTATTGGGATATGGAATGTCACCTCTCTGGTGGGGAAGGAGCCTGAGCTGGTGTGTGAGGCTGAGAGATTCTGTCTAGAAATAGTCGGACTCACCTCAACGCATGGCTCTGGCTCTGGCTCTGGAACCAGTTTCCTTGAGAGGGGTTGGACACTATTCCACTCTGGAGTTGCCCCTGGTGAGAAGCGCCAAGAAGGAGTGGGCATACTTGTTGCCCCCCATCTTGGTGCCTGTATACGTTGGGGTTCTCCCCGGTGAATGAGAGGGTATCCTCCCTCCGCCTACGTGTGGGGGGACGAGTTCTGATCGTTGTTTGTGCTTATGCAGCAGCTCAGATTACCCACCCTTTTTGGAGTCCTTGGAGGCGGTACTGGAAAGTGCACCTCCTAGGGACTCCCTTGTTCTGCTGCAGGACTTCAACTCTCACGTGGGCAATGACATTGAGACCTGGAGGGGTGTGGTTGGGAGGAACAGCCCCCTGATCTGAACCCGAGTTGTGTTATGTTGTTGGACTTCTGTGCTAGTCACGGATTGTCCATAACAAACACCATGTTCAAGCATAAGAGTGTCCATATGTGCTCTTGGCACCAGGACGCCCTAGGCCACAGTTCGATGATCGACTTTGTTGTCGGCTCATCTGATCTGCGGCCACATGTCTTGGACACTCGGGTGAAGAGAGGAGTGGAGCTGTCCACTGATCACTACCTGGTGGTGAGTTGGCTCCGATGGTGGAGAGTATGCCGGTCAGACCTGGCAGACCCAAACGTATTGTGAGGGTCTGCTGGGAACATCTGGCAGAGTCTCCTGTGAGACAGAGCTTTAACTCCCACCTCCGGGAGAACTTCAGACATGTTCCGGGGGAGGTGGTGTACATTGAGTCTGAGTGGGCCATGTTTTGTTCCTCTGTTGTCGAGGCGGCTTACCGGAGCTGCAGCAGCAAGGTTGTCGGTGCCTGTCGCGGCAGCAACCCTTGAACTCGGTGGTGGACACCGGCAGTGAGGGATGCTGTCAGGCTGAAGAAGGAGTCCTATTGGGCCTTTTTGGCCTGTGGGACCCCAGAAGCAGTTGATGGGTACCGGCAGGCAAGAGACATGCAAATCGGGTGGTCGCTGAGGCAAAAACTCGGACATGGGAGGAGTTTGGAGAGGCCATGGAGAATGACTTCCCCACGGCTTCAAGGCAATTCTGGTCCGACATCCTGCATCTCAGGGGGGGAAAGCGGTACACTACCAACACTGTTTATAGTGGGGGTGGTGTGCTGCTGACCTCAACTTGGGATGTCGTGAGTTGGTGGGTGGAATACTTGGAAGACCTCCTCAATCCCACTGGCACGTCTTTCACTGAGGAAGCAGAGCCTGGGGACTCTGGGTCGGGCCCTCCAATCTCTGGTGCTGAGGTCACCGAGGTGGTTAAAAAGCTCCTCGGTGGCAAGGCCCCGGGAGTGGATGAGATTTGACCAGCGTTCCTTAAGGCTCTGGATGTTGTAGGGTTGTGTTGGCTTACGCGACTCTGCAATATTGCATGTACATCGAGGGAAGTTCCCCTGGATTGGCAGACCGGGGTGGTGGTCCCCCTATTCAAAAAGGGGGACCGTAGAGTGTGTTCCAACTACAGGGGAATCATGCTCTTAAACCTCCCTGGTAAGGTCTATTCGGGGGTTCTGGAGAGGAGGGTTCACCGGACAGTCGAACCTCGGATTCAGGAGGAGAAGTGTGGTTTTCGTCCTGGTCGTGGAACATTGGACCAGCTCTACACTCTCAGCAGGGTCCTGGAGGGTGCGTGGGAGTTTGCCCAACCGGTCTACATGTGCTTTGTGGACTTGGAGAAGGCGTTCGACAGCATCCCTCGGGGAACCCTGTGGGGAGTACTCTGGGAGTATGGGGTACTGGGCCCTTTGATACGCGCTGTTAGGTCCCTGTATGACCGGTGTCAGAGCCTGGTCCACATTGACGGCAGTAAGTCGGGCTCGTTCCAGGTGAGAGTTGGACTCAGCCAAGGTTGCCCTATGTCACCGATTCTGTTCATAACTGTTATGGACAGAATTTCTAGGCGCAGCCAAGGTGTTGAGGGGATCTGTTTTGGTGGCCTTAGGATTGTGTCTCTGCTTTTTGCAGATGATGTAATCCTGTTGGCTTCATCAGATCGTGATCTACAGCTTTCGCTGGAGCGGTTCGCAGCCGAATGCGATGCGGCCGGGATGAAGATCAGTTCCTCCAAATCCGAGGCCATGGTCTTGAGCCAGAAAAGGGTAGAGTGCCCTCTCTGGATCAGGGAGGAGGTCCTTCTCCAAGTGGAGGAGTTCAAGTATCTTGGGGTCTTGTTCACGAATGAAGGAAAAATGGAGCATGAGATCGATAGGCGGATAGGTGCAGGGTCTGGAGTGAAGCGGGCGTTGTACAGGTCTGTCGTGGTGAAGAGAGAGCTGAGTCAAAAGGCGAAGCTCTCAATTTACCGATCGATCTACGTTCCTACCCTCATCTATGGTCATGAGCTTTGGGTTGTGACCGAAAGAACAAGATCTTGGATACAAGCGGCCAAAATGAGTTTTCTCCGCAGGATGTCTGGGCTCTCCTTTAGAGATAGGGTGAGAAGCTTGATCATCCAGGAGGGACTCAGAGTAGAGCTGCTGCTTCTCCACGTCAAGAGGAGCCAGTTGAGGTGGCTCAGGCATCTGGTTAGGATGCCTCATGGACGCCTCCCTGGTGAGGTGTTCCGTGCATGTCCCACTGGGAGGAGACCTAGAGGAAGACCCAGGACACGCTGGAGGGACTATGTTTCTCGGCTGGCCTGGGAACGCCTCGGGATTCCCCCGGAGGACCTGGCCCAAGTGGCTGGGGGGCCTCCCTACTTAGGCTGCTACCCCTGCGACCTGACCCCGGATAAGTGGAAGAAAATGGATGGATGGATATGTATACACACACACACACACACACACAAACATAGAAAAGTCATTATTAAAATCTCTATGACTGCAAAGCATTCGT